CCCTACTCCTTTTGAGCCACAGGTGCCGCCTGGCAATCTTTTTCTACTTTAAAAAAACTGAGGAAGGGGCAGCGCCTGTGGCTCAAAGGAGTAGGGCACCAGCCCCATATGCCGGAGGTGGCCGGTTCAAACCCAGCTCCGTCGAAAAACTGCAAAAAAAAAAAAACAGTCTATACTTCCCAAAGCAATCTACAGATTCAATGTATTCCCCATTAAAATCCCAACATTAAAAAAAAAAAAACTGAGGAACTAAATGATTCATAACCCCCCTGAAAATGCATAAATATATTTTCTTTTCTTTACATTTTTATGTATACTTCATCTTACTCTACGGAGGATTCGATAGGCTGCACTGCTCTACAAAGTAGATATGTGGAACAAGAAAGCCATTTAAAAACATAAGTAACTGTTGTGTACATATATAAGGACTAAAATTGGGATCAACATGAATGAACAGAGGTAGTAAAAAAGTTCATTTCCGAAGGATTTCCACTAAGTGGGAGAGTATAGCCTAAAATTAAATCTTATAAAGCAGGTAGATGTCTAATAGTCCATCTAAATATATAAAACCCATCCTCAGACAGTAACCTGGATCCACTGTGCCAACCGGAAAACCCACCAGCACAGAGAGCCTAAGCCAGCAGGTGGGTGGTGACTGCATCTCAGCCCTCGCCCCAGCCCTCCTCAGTACCTCATGGGCAACGTCTGTCCTGGGCAGCAGCAACTGAGCCCTGGAAGCAGTGAAATGTCCAGCCTGGCACAAGGTGCTCAAAAGCTGCTCACTCAGTACTTGCTGAATGAATGATTCCAGAGAACAAACAATACACAGAACAAACATGACCGGATATGGGACCCAACTGATGTGGAAGTCACAAATGGGATCTGGGTAATGTGTATAATTAGAAAGTGATTGAACGGGGTGGTGCCTGTGGCTTGAAGGAGTAGGGCACCAGCCCCATATGCTGGAGGTGGCGGGTTCAAACCCAGCTCCAGCCAAAAACCACAAAAAAAAAAGGAAAGTGACTGAACAATCACATCCATTTAACCCAGATTGGTGAAGACCCTTCAGCTTCTCAGACCTTTTTACAGCCAGATGGGTTAACAGTGGCAAAATGGGGGAAAGGTCAAGGAAAACGGACAGCTGCAATCCAAACACGATTCACAAAACTTCTGTTTGGCCAACAGGCTCAATTTTTTCCCCACTAAACTTTGAACCTTAAACTGCTAATAAGTAGCCAAAACAACAATTTTGTCTTAAAAACATTACCAAAAGAAGAAATGTTTGAATTCTGAGATTAATGTTTCAATAATCTCACATTCTGTACTTGAACTACATTCGTATCAAACACCAAATGTCAAGTCAAAAGTTTCAAACACCACCGTGTGCTGCAGGCAGAGTGTCCCCAGCAGCCCCAGCCCCTTACCGCACTCGGCCGTGATGGAGGCCAGCCCTCCATACACAAACGGCTGCCAGTTGAAGGCTGACATTCTCAGGCTGTCTCTTCTTTGCTTC